AAAAAAAAAAAAAACCAGAACAACAAGTATTGGTGATAATGTGAAGAAACTGGTACCCTTGTTCACTATTGATAGAAATGTAAAATGGTACAGTTGCTATGAAAAACAGTATGCCGGTTCCTTAAAAAATTAAAAACAGATTTCCCATATGATACAGCCAATTCCAACTCTTGGTATATATCCAAAAAATTGAATGCAGGGATTTGAAGGGAAATTTCCATACCAATGCTCATAGCAACATTATTCACAATAGGCAAAAGGTGGATGCAACCTGTGTCCATCAACAAATGAATGGATAAACAAAATGTGGTATACACATACAATGGATTATTCAGTCGTACAAAGGAAGGAAATTCTGACAAATGCTGCAAGATGAATGAACCCTGAAGACATTATACTAAGAGAAATAAACCAGTCACAAAAAGACAATTATTATATAATTCCACTTACATGAGGTACCAAGAGTAGTCAAATTTGTAGAGACAAAAAGTAAAATGGTGATTGACAAGCTGATCCCAAAATTCACAAGAATTTTAGAGGGCAAGGGGGAGTTGCTTAATGGGTAAAGAGTTTCAGTTTTGCAAGATGAAAAGCGTTCTGGAGAATGGCTGCACAACAATGTGAACATACTTAACACAAGTGAACTATACACTTAAAAATGGTAAAGATGTTAAATTTTATGTTATGTATATTTTACCACAATAAAAAACACAATGAGATAACACTTCATACCCACTAGAATGACTATAATCAAAAAGACAAATAATGACAAATGTTGGCAAGGAGGTGGAAAAACTGGGTCCTTCATATACTGCTAGTGGTAACGTAAAATGGTGCAGCCACTCTAGAAAACAATCTGGCAGTTCATCAAAAGTTTAGCAATTTCATTCTTAGGTACAAACCTAAGACAAATAAAAACATAAAAATCTGTACATAAGTATTCATAGCAGCATTATTCATAACAGCCAAAAGGTGGAAGCAATAAAAACATTCATCAATAGATGAATGGACAAACAAAATATGGTATATCCATACAACGGGATATTGTTCAGTCATAAAAATGTATGAAGTACAGATACATGCAACAACATGGATGAACTTTGAAAACATTGTGCTAAGTGAAAGCAGTCAGTCACAAAAACACACATTGTATGATTCTGTTTATATAAAATGTCCTCATTAGGCAAAACCATACAGACCAAAAGTAGATTAGTGATTGCCTAGGGATGAGGGCGACGGAGGGAAGAGGATGGGAGGAAATGGAGAGTGCTTGTGAATGGGTGTGAGGTTTCTTTCTGAGGTGATTAAAATATTCTAAAATTAACTAACTGGTGATGGGTGCACAACAACTCTGAAATACTAAAAACTATTGAATTGTATACTTGAAATGGGTGAATTGCATGGTATGTAAATTATATCTAAATAACGCTATTTATATATACATAAACACATATGTAATATATACATATATATATATAAAGAGGGAGACAGGTTTGCAATAAACTTTCTTCTCACCTTTCCATATAAGTAGTCACCAAATGGAAGTATTTGCCCAAGGTAAATGTTCTCAAATGTGTTTCAGAATCTCAAGACGATTTCCATATTAAGTAAGTAACAGACCTTCATTTAAACATTAGAAAATTACCCCCAAAAAAAGCAATTCTGAAGGCTTATAGTCAACTGAGTTCTCCACTACTGGGTGGCTCAACTACTTTGCTGCAAAGGGAAGGAAAAGACAACTAGTATGTGCCCAGGACCTTATATATGTTATTTTGTTTACTATTCACAACAACACTTGGAGGTGGGTATTACTATTATCATTTAACAGATGAGAAAACGGAAGCCTGGAGAGGTTAATAAATATTAATCAGGCATAATATTACTAATAAATAAATAAATAATAAATTAAACTTGAGCACATATTTTTCAATTGGTTTCTAAAATTTTATTTTCCCTAAATTAGATGTGAGCATCCAAAATTAGACTTTTATATGTTTAGCAATGGTTAAGCATGAAGACCACTTTTTTACTTATATAATACATTGGTTAAAATGAAGAATCATCAAAACTTATCATAAACAGAATTATTTTTATACTAACCTGAGTGTCTGACATTTCAGCCATAGACTCCCTGTTGATATTTGCTATGTCATTGAAGAGTCTATCAATTGCCTCTGGTACGTTAGGTGAATTATCATTTGTAACCAGGTTTTCAGTAACTTCTGAAATAATAATGGATGATAAATGTGCTGTGAACTATTACCATTGGCTAAAAGTAACAAATCATTTTTAAACATATTCCTAAGTCACTGGCCAAATGAATACAGCCTGAAGAAACTTGATCCTTAGAGTAAAACCAAACTGGAGATTTAAAGTTTCTTTAAGCTAGAGTATAGTTTTCAAATAAAATTTGCATTCTTTGGGAGTCACTTATTTATAACTTAATCATTACTTATTCTCAGAAAGTAAAATGCATTGACTTCATAAATAGTAATATTATTAAGGTAATCTTAAAAGTACCAAACAGGCCAAGCTTGGTAGCACGTGTCTGTAGCCCCAGCTACTCTAAAGGCTGAGTTAGGAGGATCACTTGAATCCAGGAGTCCAAGACTACAGTGAGCTATGATCCTGCCACTGTACTCCATCCAGCATGGGCTACAGAGTGAGGCCCTTTCTCTAAAACAAACAAACAAAAAAACCCCTACAAAACCAAACTTAACAACATCTTCAAAACTAGAAAATGTAGAAATTCTGAAAGAAGATCCACATATGTGCGCTGTAAAACTGAAAAACTTACTAATGTTTTCAAGCATTAGACAGACATAACTCACTGCTGGCTCTGAAGCCTTGACCTTACTTTGTGAGAAAAAAATGACATGCTCAATTAGCAACAACATTAACCAGCTATTGAATCTGCACAAATGATGTCACCATTTTCTAAGTGGTCTGAGCTCCAGACTCCGTATAGCTGAATCTTACTAGACCATGGAATTCCTTAAAACCCAAGCATTAGCTGGGCATGATGTTCCACACCTATAGTACCAACTACTCAGGGGTCTGTGGCAGGAGGATCCCTTGAGCCGAGGAGTTTGAAACAGCCTGGGAAACACAGCAAGACACCATCCCAAAAAAACAAAAAACAAAACAAAAAAAAACACCTAAAACTAAAACTCAGCCAGGCGCAGTGGCTCATGCTTATAATCCCAGCACATTGGGGCTGAGGCAGGCAAATCATCTGAGGCCAGAAATTCGAGACCAGCCTAGTCAACATGGCAAAACTCCATCTCTATTAAAAATATAAAAATTAGCTGGGCATGGTGGTGCCCACCTGTAATCCCAGCTACTGGGGTGGCTGAGGCACTAGAATCGCTTGAGCCTGGGAGGCTGATGTTGCAGTTAGCTCAGATCATGCCACTGAATTCCAGCTTGGGTGACAGAGCAAGACTCTGTCTTAAAAAAAAAAAACTAAAACTAAACAATAACCATGAAGTAGAATCACAATTGATGCCCCTCATATTATCAAAATTGAGGGTTTTTTTCAAACTCGTAACAGAAATGTCCATAAGCTACATAGTTCTAATTTCTTGCAACATTCCTGAGCCTCAAATTAGCAAAAATGTTATTAATATTCATAACAGTACTATAAAAGCACCTTTCAAAAGATTTTTAAACTGCTAAAATAAACAGAATTTTTACCCTGCTACAATAAACAACAAATCAGCTAAAAAAGTTTCAGTTAAACAAATGCTTGAGGTAGTAGCCTATCTACCCTGATGCGATCATTATACATTGCATGTCTGTATCAAAATCTCATGTATCCCATAAATATATATACCTACTATGTAAGCATACAAATAAAAATTAAAAATCTAATTAAACATAAGAATATAGATTCAGATAAAGACTTCACAAAGCAAATTATGTTCAATTATGTTAAAATGCCACACATTTTAAACACGTTAGGTGAAAAAATATATATGAAAAGAAAAATGCAAAAATTAGCCAGGCGTGGTGGTGCATGCCTGTAGTCCCAGCTACTCTGGAAGATGAGACAGGAGAATCGCTTGAACCCCAGAGGCAGAGGTTGCAGTGAGCAGAAATTGGCCACTGCACTCCAGCCTGGGCAACAGAGTGAGACTCCATCTCAAAAATAAAAGAAAAAAAAAACCTCTATCTTTCTTTCTCCCTTAAATTGTTTAATGGAAAGACTGATATTAAATATCCTGACTCTTCTAAGATTAGGTAAATACTGGGCTGAGGGGCATATATTTATATAGCCCTTGTTCAAAATATTGATAACAGAATCAGGGAGGTTTTAAAATTGATGTTTTTAAAAATACAAATATTGTTTAAAAACAGATTTTTAAAAATATTTTTGAAAACAAAATCCCAATATAAATTTTTTTTGTTTGTTTTGTTTTAAGACAGGGTCTTACCCTGTCACCTAGGCTGGAGTACAGTGGCCAATCTCAGCTCACTGCAACCTCCGCCTCCCAGGTTCAAGCAATTCCCCTGCCTCAGCCTCCCGAGTAGCTGGGACTACAGGCACATGCCACCAATATAAATTTTTAATTTGAGTTCCTTTAAAAAAAAATCCTGGCTGGCCGTGATGACTCACACCTATAATCCTAAGAGTTTGGGAGGCTGAGGTAGATGGATTCCTTGAGCTCAGGAGTTTGAGACCAGCCTGAGGTACATAGTGACACTTCATCTCCACAAAAAATATAAAAATTAGCTGGGCATGGTGGCTCACATCTGTAGTTCCAGCTACTCTGTGGCTAAGGTGGGAGGATCACTCCAGACCAAGAGATAGAAGCTACAGTTAAGCTGTGATCATGCCACGGCACTCCAACTGGGCAACAGAGCAAGACCTTGTCTTTCAAAAAAAAAAAAAAATCCTAAGATGTTATTGTAGAATACCAATTATAGTTTTTGGTTACATAGTTTATGAGACTATGAAGACATGTATTTTGATTCGTGAATGTTCTCTTAAATGGTTAATGTTTTATTAACTCATTTTTGTCTTAATAATTCTGGTCCTTTTGACACATGCACACGAATGTTCATTGCAGCACTGTTTACAATAGCAAAGACCTGGAAACAACCCAAATGCCCATCGATGATAGACTGGACAGGGAAAATGTGGCACATATACACCATGGAATATTATACAGCCATCAAAAACGATGAGTTCGTGTCCTTTGTAGGGACATGGATGAACCTGGAAACCATCATTCTCAGCAAATTGACACAAGAGCAGAATATCAAACACCGCATGTTCTCACTCATAGGCGGGTGTTGAACAATGAGAACACATGGACACAGGGAGGGGAGTACTACACACTGGGGTCTGTTGGGGGAAAATAGAGGATGGACAGCAGGGGAAGGGGAGTTGGGGAGAGATAGCATGGGGAGAAGTACTAGATGTGGGTGATGGGGAGGAAGGCAGCAGATCACACTGCCACGTGTGTGCCTATGCAACAATCTTGCATGTTCTTCACATGTACCCCAAAACCTAAAATGCAATAAAATTAAAAAAAAACAAATAAATATATGGAAAATTGTTTACTCTTGCCAGTCATAAAATAAGTGCAAATAAAAAATTAATAATAATAATAATAATTCTGGTCCTTTCAAAACATATTTTCAGTGTTATTCGACTGAGCAACTTCACTGACACCAGCTGAGGCAATGACAGCATTGCAGTCCTTTAGCAGAAAATTCAGTCAGCAAAGCTGGATAAGTGATAGAGATCACATAGCTGAAAGGTTGAGAATTACACTATGAAAAAGAGATTTGCATCTGGAAGAAGCTCAGAAAAGAAATTCTATTTTTTTTTTGAGACAGGGTCTTGCTATGTTGCCCAGCCTGGCCTCAAACTCTTGGGGTGGGAGTGATCCTACCATTTGAGTAGTTGGCATTACAGGTGCATGCCACTGCACCTGATTAAAAGAACTTCTATAAATGCAGTCTATGGCTGGGCAAAGCGTCTCATGCTTGTAACCCCAGCAATTTGGGAGGCCAAGGCAAAAGCATTGCTTGAGCCCAGGAGTTCAAGACTACCCTGGGCAACATAGGGAGACCCTCATCACTACAAAAAAAATAAAATTAGCCAGCTTTGGTAGCCCACACTGTGGTCCCAGCTACTCGGGTGGTTGAGGTAGGAGGATTGCGTGAGCCTGGGAAGTTGAAGCTGCAGTGAGCTGTGGTCACACCATTGCACTCCAGCCTGAGCGACAGAGCAAGACTCTATCTCAAATACAAAATGCAGTCTACTCCCGAGATGAGAAAACAACAAACTGTATGAAGGTTTTATCAAGCAAGATTGTACATTTTGAGAAAAACTATTACATTATCTTCCTGGCTACAGAAAGAAACTATGATTTACAACATGATTTTCATCCATTTGATTTGAAATAAGATGCATCCTAGTTAAAACTAGGAGGTCACTCGATTGAGGCAGCCGTGTTAATCTGTATCAATTAATTCTGATTAAGTAGATGACATTCTAGGCACAGCATAATAGAAAATAAACATTTTCCCTGTCCTTGACGAAGGAAGCTTCTGTTACAACATGTAAAAATCTATCAACAGTCCCGCCAAGTCTTTCCCTGTGACCTCCATCAGTTCAACCAGTCATTCAAAAGCCAAAGCAGCTCAAAGACCTGCCAAGATCAATTCAAGATTTTACTCCAAGTCACAATAATTATATGCAACTTCTTTAGTGAGAAAAGAACCAGAAATGACAATAAAATTAACATTTGCACACTGCTTCCCAGTCTCAAATCTTTTTCACATGCAATCTCATTTAATCTTCAATCTATTCCGTAAGAAAGATATTTTTATTTCATGAGATGTGGAAACTAAGATTTAACAAAATGAAGTGACTTTTTAAAAATCAGGCCTCTTTGCTGGATGAAGTGACTTCTTGAAGGTGACAAAATAGAAAGCAGTAAGCTAGGACCTGAATTCAGGCTTTCTGATTTGAAATCCTGTGCTTTCCACTATACTGGTTATATCAGGAAGGATTTGGAACAAGTGACAAGCTAGGACACTCAGACAACTAAAAAACAGCAGAGAGGAAAGAAATGAGCCAAAAGCATTCAGAGTGCTACAGTATAGCTCTGATTGCAGGCTAAAGAAAACTATTCAAACTGCAGAGGTTGGTTTCAATGAGGAGAGCCAAAATATCAAAAACAGTGTCAAAAGGGCCTGGCAAAAT